TCTTGTCCGGGACATAACTTTGAAACAACAAGAGGTATCAACATGAAACTTTGTAGGTAGATAGATCTCATTGAGTAGGTGTGCAGTGCACAAGAACCCTTACTCTGACTTGCCTAATTTTTTAATTATTGTCATTTGTTTATTTTTACACTTTGAACTTTGTCCGGGACATAACTCTACAAGTATAAGAGATATCAACATAAAACTTTGTAGGTAGATAGATCTCATAAAGTAAAAGTGCATTGTTAAAGAGCCATAACTTTGTCTTGCCTTATTTTGGAGTTATTGCCCTTTGTTTATTTTGACACTTTGAACTTCGTCCGGGACATAACTCTGAAACTAGAAGAGGTATCAACATGAAATTTTGTAGGTAGATATATCTCATAAAGTAGGTTTGCAGTGCACAAGAACCGTAACTCTGTCTTGCCTAATTTTGGAGTTATTGCCCTTTGTTTATTTTTTCAATTAGAATTTTGTCCGGGACATTACTTTGAAATAACAAGAGCTATCAACATAAAACTTTGTAGGTAGATAGATCTCATTAAGTAGGTTTGCAGTCCACAAGAACCCTTACTCTGTCTTGCCTAATTTTTGAATTATTGCCCTTTGTTTATTTTTACACTTTGAAACTTGACGGGACATAACTCTTAAACTATAAGAGGTATCAATATGAAACTTTGTAGGTAGATAGATCTCATTGAGAAGGTTTGCAGTGCACAAGAACCGTAACTCTGCCTTCCCTATTTTTTTAATTATTGCCCTTTGTGTATTTTTTTATACTTTGAACTTTGTCCGGGACATAACTCTTAACGTATAAGAGGTATCAACATACATGGAACTTTATAGGTAGATAGATCTCACTGAAAAGGTGTGCAGTGCACAAGAACCCTAACTCTGTCTTGCCTAATTTTTAAATTATTGCCCTTTGTTTATTTTTACACTTTGAACTTTGTCCGGGACATAACTCTAAAAGTATAAGAGAAATCAACATGAAACTTTGTAGGTAGATAGACCTCATAGAGTAAAAGTGCAATATTAAAGAACCATTACTTTGTCTTGCCTTATTTTGGAGTTATTGCCCTTTGTTTATTTTTACACTTTGAACATTGTCCGAGATATAACTTTAAAACAACAAGAGGTTTTAACATGAAACTTTGTAGGTAGATAGATCTGATTGAGTAAGTGTGCAGTGCATAAGAACCGTAACTCTACCTTGCTTAATTTTTGAATTATTGCCTTTTGTTTATTTTTACACTTTGAACATTGTCAGGGACATTACTCTAAAATTATACGAGATATCAACATGGAACTTTGTAGGTAGATAGGTCTCATTGGGTAGAAATGCAGTGCTAAAGAACCATAACTCTGCCTTGCCTTATTTTGAATTATTGCCATTTGTTTATTTTTACTTTTTTACTTTTGTCCGGGACATAACTCTTAAACTATTAGAGATATCAACATGAAACTTTGTAGGTGGATATATCTCATTGGATAGAACTGCAGTGCTGAAGAACCTTAACACAATCGTGTCTTATTTTGGAGTTATTGCCCTTTGTTCATTTTACACTTTGAATTTTACCCGGGACATTACTCTGAAACTAAAAGAGATATCATCACGCAACTTTTTATATAGATAGATCTCATTTAATAGAAGTGCAGTGCAAAAAAACCATAACTCTACTTTGCCTAATTTTGGAGTTTTTGCCCTTTGTTCATTTTTTATACTATCCTGTGAGGGAGCATCATCCGGTTCAACTGGTTCTTGCTTTACTCTGTTAAGATATCAGATTATTTTATGTAATATACAATTGGTGTAAAATTTATTTTGAGTTTCTTGTGTTTGTAATGATAAGTTGACAATATTAGATCTCTTGTTGATTTATTTTGTCTCAGTCAATTTAGTATGTTTCAAATACAATACAAAACATTAAACATCATTCATAAAGAATTCATACAAGTAATGTATATGTATATGTATCTGAAATTATCTCTATTATAAAGGATTTCATAATTTTACTCATACATTTCATTTAGATATTTCAACATCATAAAAACAATTTTGATAACACAATAGATTTATACTATCTAACAAGTGAAGTAATATTTCTCCATTATTATTCTAACAAATTATTTAAAGTGGGGAGTGGTATTAATTACATATATAGTACTTGCAAGGCACATGAAAAGTACCGAAATGTTTTACATGATATCGTGTTTTTCCTTTTTTTCTTAAACAACAATATTACTAACTAATTGAAAAATAAAATTATAAGGAACACCTTATTTGACAATTTTAATTTGGAAAGTATTTACATAAAGATCATTAAAAGTAAATTATTTCTTAAACATATTACAAGAATACATTTTTCTGTAAATCTTAATGTTCATCTTTAATCTGTAAAAGTACTACAAATCTTAATGTTGTAAAATTACTAAACTTGTAACATATTAAACTCTAATATGTAAAAAAAATTGTAAAAGTTAACTTTTTAATTAGATTACAAAATATGATAAAACAGATCAACAAGGAAAGGTGGCGTTAAATGAACTCAACTAAAGTCTGCGTGCAACTAAGTAAGACAAGTAGAAATATAACAAATTTAAACAAACAGAAAATAAAATACCTGAAATAGTAAGTTGACATTATAAGATCTCTGGTAGATTTATTTTATCCCAGTCAAGTTAGCCAGAGTACTGTCCAAGCTTATATACTGGTATCTGGTATCTGTCAAATACCTTGATAAATAGTCTTTAATTTCTACTCTATTACATTTTTTTCACTTTTACTTTGTGTCTTAATTTGTATTTACACCAAGGTATTTTTTAAAGTATAGAAAAATGTGGTTTGAGGCAAACATTTTACATAACATAATAAATCTGCGGACAATTACTGACTTGTCTTTCACATTAAAGTAATTGAAGAATGTATGAACCTGTTGATCAGTATTTTAAAATAATGCAATATAGTTTTAGCGGAAATCTTATTATTTAATAACAGAAAAATAGTTAACAGATAAATTATAATGTGTGTTAAAATGACACCATTTTACATACCTAAAATAACTTATCTATCTCTTGTTTACACTTACAAAGTTTTAGAAAAAGTCATAAAATATTCTCTACTTCTTAACCAAAATAATTCTCTTTTCTTGCAAAGTTTTAAAAAGTCATAAAATATTCTTAACTTCTTAATTTATTTTTTATACTTCTTTATACTTTGAACAATGAAATATGTTGATACATATTATATAATTATATAAAAATGCTTCAAAACAATATCTAAAGCATAATCCTATAATGTACATGTACTTGGGTAACCCAAAGAATCTTTGAGAATATAACAAAAATGTCATACACTTTATGTTTATGTTATTATGTTCATGTACTCGTATAATTTATACAATATAAAATGTTATTCACTTATATATGTATGTTCATTTTATAATATAAAGTCATACTCTCAAATCACCTTGGTAATTTGTACATAGTTGTATATAATGTATAAATAATGTTTGAGTAGACAACAATTTTGTAGTTCACTTATACATGTATGTTCATGTCACACTATTTTTCGTTTTTTTTCCTCTTGTTATGTTGTAGTTTCATTTTTATATTTAATCACAGTTACCAGCTCCCTTCAAAAACAATTTTATCATTGACATTGGTCACACTCTGTTTACCATTTATATTACAATAAACCTTGGTTGTTATTATTCATTTACTTAAAAAGTATAAAGCTATATATCTACTGCAAAAATTACTGTTTGAAATTTAAAAAAGTAATAGATCCATAATGCTTGTATGATATCAATATTGTAGTATATTGCCTTAAAAGCAAATGACTCATACAATAACTCATTGTTAAACGGTTAAAACTGCCCTTAAAATACCAGCATTTTATTTTATTGTGGACCATTTTATTCGGTTTACATACAATATTCATGTGTGTTAAATAACAGAGACATTTTATATCACAACTTTGTCAAGAATGACCACAAGAAAGTGGAAACAATGTTATTTTGCTGTTGATGAATTTTATAGAAATATTACATAAGATATAATAGCTTTATACCCTTTAACTGATCAAATATCGTACACCTCAATATTGTCCTCACGTTCTCTGCTTATACACATCTTAGACATTTGTTGATTACAACAAAGTGACTGAATTTCTTGTTTCTTGCTGTCATTTTTTATGACTTCTCCTATCAGCTCACCATCAGATGTTAACTGTAAAACATTTTTGGAGTTATATCCAGATACCAGCACACAGCCTGTTTCAGTGTGATGACAACAAGAAGCCCTCTTTAATTGTTTACCTTTAAATGTTGTAACAATCTGACCAGTATTGTCTAGTACTATCAGTCCTTCAAGATCATCAGCAACATAAATCCTTGTAGCATACTTACTGACAGCTAAACTGTTTATGTGACGAAACAGTTTCTGTCCTGAATGGTCAGTACTAAACTGTTTAAGTTTCCTGCCAGACATTGTGTAGATATAGACTGATGTGATATCTGAAATATATAAATGATTGTTTGCATATGCAAGACCACGACAGTTAAAATCAGTTTTAATCATGTTTGTAGTTTTCATTTGTCTTTGTACAGAAATGAAATGAACTTCCTGTTTGTAGGCTAATGTTACTGCTACTTGAGTTTCATTAACTTTACATATTTCCCATGGCTTTTCAAGTAGATTATAGCAGTTGGTAATTGTATAATTGTGACTATCTAACCGTTTTAGCTTATAGTTGTTGTGATCAGCAAGGATAATTGTACCATTTTTCATATAGCAGGCACTGAAAATACTACATCTATATTCCTTCTTTACTTTGACACAGAATGATTGTCCTCCTTTAATCTGAAGAAACTTGCTCTCAGTTTTTGCAGTTTTCTCAGTTAGTATGCCAATAGTTTTGTTTTGTTTCAGCTGTCGAAGGAGATTTCTGTCAGGTTTAAATTCTATGTCACGTACTGTTATCCTCGTTATGGTATCTTCTATAAATTTGTTGGCAAAACTTTCAGCATCTCCCCCATCTTCACATGAACAAACAATTCAGCTTGATTTTGGTTTGGAGATGTTAATTTATCATTAGCTGATGTAACCGTTGATTTGTGTGTTTGAAGCTGTTTGAGACCTTCTTCAATCTTGTCTTGAAGATGTTTAAATTTATTTTCTATCTCAACTACAGAACTTTTCTCCAGCTTGTCAAGTTGGTCATTAATTTCTTGTCGGAATTTTCTGATATCATCCAGTAACTCAGCCTTTCTTTTCAGAAGGGTCTGTTTATCCTGTTGAAATTTGTTAGCTTGTACAGCAAGGGTCCTGGCTAATACCTTCAGCTTTGTTTGAATTTCTCTTGAAGCCACTTGGTAAGATTTGTTTTGGATAAATTCTGGTATGTAGAATATATCCTTACATGATCTAGAAAAAAAGAATTAAGTCTGTTTATGTATGAGAGAGGAAAGAAAAATTAATCTGATTATCTTGCAGATTGATTAATTTATCAGCCCTCACCTGGCAAAATGATGAATTTATTACAATGATTTATTAATTTGTTTTACCTAGGAAAACGTAATGATTAACTTTCAATTTGGAACAGTCCGAAACTAATAATAGTTGATATATTTTACAAAAGATTATTATTATGTAGCTATCAGTGCTTGGTTAGTTTGAATGTAATCAATTTTTACTGGCTGGTCTGGCTGTAAACTGGTGGCATTAATAGTCTGTAAAAGACATTTCCTTATATACTGAATTTTTACATAGGCAAGGTAAGAACATTTTTACAAATGCATAGAATTTTCTTAAACTTTTCATGATTTAAGAAAATTATTACTGATATTAATGGAAAAAATAAGGGGTCACCATCTTTCTTTTTCGTTAACCATATTTTTGAGTTACCTGCTCTTGAAACTGTATTAATAGATTATTTAAAAAAACTCACATAGGGGGCTAATAAGATGGGAGCTATGAGCGCACACTTCTTTTAGTTTTTTTTAAAGAAAGTTAAATGATCATAATGCTAAACGTTACCTGTGATCAATCGTCATACATGTAGAACAGCCAACATTATCATGATTCTGACAGTACATATCAATGTGTTTATGACTGTGTCTGTCACATCTCTCTCCTGGTGCCGTGGCGAGACCTTTACTGGTTCCAGACTTAACTTGAGATTTATCCAACACCTTGTGACTAGCTAATACAGGCACTTGATTGTGAACTTTTACACAATTTGTACAGAAATAATCATGACAGTCCACACAGAATTTTTTACCTTCAGTGTTTTTACCTTTATTTTTTTTACACATGGAACATAATACATCAAATAATTCATCAGAAAGAATATCCGTATTTATTTTTCCACCTGTAGCCATTTTGTATAATATCTAGTTGAAACCTGTTTACTAAATTAATCTATACAATTTCTAAAGATAGATAAAATTGTCTGAATTTCTTATCATAGTGATTTTAAAGAAACATTTTTTATTCCTATCATTACTTTAAAACTACTTTTTTAACAATGTATCTTTTTCTCCTCTTCTTTTATGAATTACAATCACCTTGAATAGTTAACTTTTAAGGATTTTGCAACGGTCATAATTGTACTGTTATAACATTATCTTATCTCTCACGCTATATACATTTAAATAAACACTTCAAAATTGTTATCTTGTCTTGATGAATTAGGAAACCACAAAGTTTTACATTTGTCAATATGTACCGTTTTTTTTTTAAATTTTGGACCAGGAAGAGTTGTGTTTAGTAGATATATAGTTATGAAGACATAAAGTAATTTTAGTTGTCATAGGGCACAAACATTCCTCATAACTTAACCTAAAGTGATTCAAAGTATGCAAAATTACGTAAACCTGTAAAAAAATGTTAAGTTTTACAGATTTTTTTTTTACCTTTACCCATGCAGAGGAAAAGTTAATTGCTTTAGAACCATATTTTCTTGTGTATACATGTTGAGTTTTGACTTTATTTTTGCATAACTTGACGTCATTTTCAAAGAAACCTTTTCTACTGTATTTGAATATAAGTAAATTTCATAAAACTGTTTCTGTTGTATTCTAATAGTAAATTAGTATTCTTGAAAATTTTGCTATTGTATTTAAATATAAGTCAATTTCACGAAATATTTTTCTATTATATTTAATTATAGATATATGACAATTTCGCGAAACATTTTTCTAGTGTAGTTAATAGAAGTCTTTCAATTTTCGCATCAAATTATGAAATTCCCTTATTATTTTCTGTAGCAAAAGAATTTGGACCATCTGCACAGTTTTAGATGTGTAATTGAACTTTGGTATTAGCTGACCTACATTTTGTTGAAATGACCTAGTTTCTTGACCTTTGGTGAACAGCTATGAAATTTGGACCATATGCTCAATAAAAGATGTTAAATTGGAATTTTGAAATCAGCTGACCAAGATAATTTGACGAAGTGACCTACTTTCTTGTTCTTTCATTCACAGCTATTAAATTTGGACCCTGTGCATAGTTTTAGATGTAAAATTGAATTTGATATCAGATGACCTGCATTATTTGACAAAGTGACCTACTTTTTCTGTCCTGCCATGTACAGCTTTTTAATTTAGAAAATGTGCATATTTGTAGATGTAAAATTGAACTTTGATATCAGCTGACCTAGATAGTTTGACGAAATGACCTACTTTCTTGACCTTTGATGTACAGCTGTATAATTTGAAGCATGTGTACAATTTCAGATGTGAAACTGAGCATTTAACATAAAGGAAATGATTCATTAGTAGACGAAACAACTGTAAACAGACCAGCTTGTCATTTGCTTTATAAATTGTGATGTTTCGGTAACAACATGCTATATTTGGATTTTCTTTATCATGAAGAAACTAAGGGGAGCTTTGTATGGAAGGAAAATTATTTCAACATTATCTCTTCATACATAATTTTTCCTCTTGATTTCAGATGCCTTGAACTTTCAACCTGGTGATGAGAGGATGTACATTCTGCATGACAGATTCCTTGACGATGGCGAAAGTGACCTTGTGCCAATACTCAAATGTCTACAATGAGGTATGTTATATAATTAGTTGTTAAAACCCTCACTGCTACATTTGGTTATATTGAGATCACTTTGTCAAAGGTTGCAGAACAATGGCATCAGATCATGGTATGCATTTTCCGCTATGTAGTCAGTACATATTCCGATGGTTTTGTCCAGATGGTAAGATTTATCATTGTGAGGGATAAACGATTTAGCTAATGAAAGTTTACTCTTATTTTTCATATGCGGTTTATATTGTGATGCAACTGCTCTAGTCTTTCCGTATCTTTTGAACAAGTGGTAGGATATTTTAACTTCTTGGCAGAAATATTAACGGTATTGAGATGATATGTAGGCTTGACCTTCCTCATGTTACAGTAACACTTAGTCTTTTTTATGAATTTCAAAACTTCATGTCCACTCTGTATTTTTTACCAATTGAAAGAAGTTAAAATAATTGAGCAGTACTGTTACTTATGATTTGTTGATGGGCTTCCCAATATTATGCCAAGGTGTTACTTGGTTTACATGGTCTTGTTTAGGAAAATATTTTTAAGTCTTCTTTTATAAAACTTAAATGCAAAGAGCTTATGAAGTATTTCCTAGTTGGTCTCTACATGAGTTACATAAGCTTAGCTAAATTAGGCTTATATAGAAAAATACATGTAAGTCTTTTTTTAATGAAACTGCTTTGCCCAGAACTTGGCTATAGGGCATTTAGCAATGCCTGTTGACATCTATAAAAGATTATGAAGGAATGATAAAAATTGTAATATAATAATTATCATATGCCATCACTTCTATGGGTGACAATGGCAAGTACTCAAGGTTATTGACTTCCAATCATTCGGCTGTAATTCTGTTGGTTCAAATCTCATAAGGGACATTTGAATCTGTCATGTCAGGCAGCTGTCAATCTAGCTGATGAAACGTTGATGGTCTACTTAGATGTTTGCATGTGCCTGAAATAGTGCATGGAGGAGGAATACCTGCGGTTTTTCTCCATCAGTAATGCTAGGGTGTCACCATATGATATTTATAGTGTATGTGTGACTTAAATGCCAACGGCAACAATATTAACAATTATTTTCAATGTTATGGTAACTTATATGATTGTTTATCTTAATGTTACAAATGTTTGATGAAAAATGGATAATCAGAAGGTAGTGCTGTCTTTATATGATACCTATTGATGAAAACAAACTTAAAGTCACCGCCATAACATATACAAATAGCTTAAATGTGTGTTGGAAAAGTTATAAAGCTTGTCAAAGGCTCATTTTTGTCTCTGAAACTTTTTATGTAAGTCTTGATATAAAGTTAATACAACATATCAAAATGCTATGTTCATTTGTATTTTAAACACATTACTGCTTTATGTATGAAGTTTTATTATATTGTTTTGATCTCGTTTATACTTAGGTTTCAAGTCTATATGGAATAAAAGACTATTAATTTATATTGAAGTCTGGTGGACAATTTTAAAGGTTACTGTTACTATGTTTTACCAGTCAACAGCATTGTAGAAGGTACACAATTATGAATGTCTGGACAAGTAATAGTTAAAAGTCAGGTTTCAATACACATCTTACGTCATTAACTTGGGACAGGACATTGTATGTAATGGTCATTTGTCATGTGCAGAGAAATTTATAATTACTGGTTAGTTATCCAGGAAAGCTTGATTAGTGGGTCGACCGCTGAGATATGACCAAAAATGGGTTTAAATAATTTTTAAAACCAAACAATTCATTTCAGTATCACTTGCAATATTAAAAAAAATGATTTTTTACACTCTCTTGGCATAAGTTCCCATATGTGTTTCTGGTGGCGGATCATAACGAAACAAATTTGAAATGGCAGTTGTTTTTCTTAACTTTTTTGTAGTTTTTGTTTAATTTATATCAAATATGTTATAAAGCACTCCAACAAACATTGTTAGAAGTTTTTAGCTTTGAACATTTTAATGATTTTTGCATTAGCTATTCAATCTATTGTTTTCATTTCTAGGATACAGACATTTTCCGCTGTTTGATAAGAATGGGGACCAATACGAACAGGCCTTAGTGTTTGTACATGTTAAAGTCGAGGATTTAGCACCACAGCAGACTCGAGGTCCACACCCATGTCTCCACTAGGCAAGAAAATTCTTGCCAACCTTGAGATTACCCCTGTTCTTAACAAAGCAGATATTGGCAAAAAACAGCTGAGATATTGAGATGACTTGTGATAAGCTTGAGATTTTCCCTGATCAAGACTTGGAAAAGAAATAAAAAACAGTTAAAATTTTTGAAACACACTTGATAATCTTAAGATCTGAAGTTATTTAGAAAAAAAATATTTGAGTGAAAAAAAACTTGTGTCTGAAGTTAATTTTCAGTATTGTTTACAAGAAAAGAACTGAAAAAAAATAAAAGAAAGATCCAAATGAGGGAAACTGATCTTAAAAGATGATTTTATTCATTTTTAATGAAGTAATTATATAATCATATATTATAAATATATTGATATTACGATATAGGTATATATATATATATTTCTAAAATAGAATTAGTTAATGATGAAAAAGTTGTGATATTAATAATGCAGTTTAAAAGATATTTATCCTCAATTTCCTTTTCTATAAGAAAGATTTTTGTCACAGATTTTCAATATTTCAAATTTATGTTCTAAAATTTAGTTTACAAGACTTGAGATTTCTATTAAATTTATTTTTTGATTTGATCTGGAATGACAAATAAACTTGGTATATCATGGTCACTGAAAGTCATCTTCAAAAATTTTGTAAACGTTGCATATTGTGCATAAGAAGAATACATATTTTATAGCATATTTTCAATTGAAGAATTTCAGAAAATTTACAGAATTTAATTTACTAAATATTTTCAGGCTAGAAACAGTACAAGCATTAAAGTATCGTGTATTTGCTTAATCATTTTTGGGGGTACATTGCTTGTGTAGAATTATCATCATGAACATTTTGAATCCTAAATTGCCATGCTTGCTTAAAGAATAGAAGTTGAAATTCTTGCAAAAAATTTGCCATAATGTACAATTCTTTATTTGACGTTTTTCTTTACTCTTGTTTTAATGGTAAACCATCCAATTATACCTTGTGAAACCATTGTACCAGTTAAGGGCTGTTTGCAGAGGATAATTGTCCCCACTATGTTGGTCATTGGTGATGCATGTCATCAGTGCAGAATATACTGTATTCCTACAAAGGAGTGTGCATGGTTTAAGTTGGTGACATTAGCTGTAAAAAAATTTAACATTGTCCAGCTTACTAATTTAAATCAATTCCAAGTATCGATACTGTACTTCCGTAGTCATGTGATTATCAATGTTATGACATATTTGTTTCTATTTCTTAGGCCGTATTCTCTCTCAGAACTATTGGATTAACAAGTCACTCTTGGAGGGATGTGTAGTACATTTATTTCAATAAAGACTTATTAAATAACTTTTCAGGGAATTCAGACATAAACATTTGGACAGTTTTAACGTTTTTCCTGAATGTCAACAACGGACAAAAT